CCCTCCCTCCCTCCATACACACACACAACACCTGCGCCAGGTAGGACTGGTAGGCCTCCAGAAAGTTCGCTGGTGGCCCCAGGTCTGTGGTGATCTGCAGTCGGCGTTGGTCCAGGTAGTGGCGGCGCAGGGCGGGCATTCGACCCAGAGAGCGGTGGATGTGGACGCACCTGGTGGCGGCACAAGGGCCACAGGGGGCAGGGTTTATAAAGAGGTTTTAGGGCGCGAAAAATAGACATGAACGATAATGATAGTTCTCATCAGCAGTAGCGTAGCTGCAGCAGTAGCAGCAGCAGCAGTAGCAGCAGCAGTAGCAGCAGGACTATGTAGCAGGTGTAGCAGGCCTCCAGCTCGCATCCGTGGTGTACAACAGAGGCCTGTATAAGCCTGCGTGGAATGTTAGGGTTTGAAAACCCGGCCCCCTTTCCCAAACATGTACCGCTCGGTCGCCAAACCCTTTCCCCCTCCCTTTTTTTTCACCCCCCCTCCTTCCCCCCTCCTCCCCACTACCTGTACAGTCCCTGCATATCCACCCCCTGGAGCAGCGCGGTGGTGTAGTCCGTCAGGGAGCAGCAGGGGCCCAGGGGGGAGGCGGCGGCCGCCCTGTGGCGAGATAACAACGACTGAATGGCCTGTTTAGGACACGTGTAAGGGGGAAAAGAGGCGTGGGAAGTGACGCTGGATGGCGAAACCTAGCGGAATATCAGCGCCCTCTCTTGCCCAAAGCTTAGTTCGTCAAAATAAAACACATACATACAGACACGGACACACGGACTACGTAGCCCGCTTCGGTAAAAAAGGTATTCTCGTGTACCATCAATGCCATTTCCCTCATCGCGGCTCCGAAGATCATTAATACATACACACACATACATACATACATACATACATACATGCGGAGTGGCTGCGTAGAGTGTTGGCAGTCTGCGTCGGGGTCGGGAGCACACAAGACTAACCGACTTGTGCTGTGTGCTCCCGACCCTTGCGCTGTGTTTCGGCTTCGGCCCCCGGCTCTCGCAGCCCACAGTGTAATCTAAGTCATACATACATACATACACACACATACATACACACGCATACACACACACGCCCCCACCTGCAGGGGTTGCCCCGGGTGAAGGGTGGTCAGGTCCAGGTCCAGGGGGGGCCCCGGAGGCCACCGGAGGGGGGGGACCCTACCCGTGGAGCTTCGCGGGGGGGGGGGGAAAGGCGGGGGTGGTGGTGGGGAGAGAAACGGACACATAATACACACACGTGTAAGCACACATACATACGCACATACATGCTTATACACATACATACATACATACATACATACATACATACATAAGACTGCAGCAAAATGTTTAATGGATACGATGTGAATGTTTCTAGTTGATTCGATGGGTAGATGGAGTCTTTAGTGTCGCATTTTGAGGGGGGGGTTGTGGGGGTTGGTGGTAAACGAACCACGAGCGAGTGAAGCTGCTGCCAAGGAAAGAGTGCTGCGGCAGATGTACAGGAAGCAGAGCTGACCAGTCGGCGGTGGGGGGAGAGGGGAAAGACGAACCACACACGATTGAAGCTGCTGGGGGGAGAGGGGAAAGGGTGAAACAAGGGACGGCCGTCGCCGATCCCCTACCTGGCGTTACATGGCATGACGTACGACAGACACAGAAACGTACGACACATACTTTAAGCTACAGCTGTACTTACCGGCTTCCTCCTCCTGTCGCCGCCGCGGCGAGTGCAGACGGCGTCACCGTCGCCGCCGCCGCCGCCGCCGGCGGGGCCCCCTCTTTGGCTAGCTCCCGTCGAAACGGCGCTCCGACGACATCCCTCGCCGCCACCGCCGCCGGGTCGCGGCTACCCATGAGCGAGACCGCCACTGTACGGCGCTCCGAAGCCAGATTTTCGTCCATTTGTCGTTCAATGGCGGCTTTGCGGATGACCCTGAGCCCCACCTGCCGGGACCCCGCCCGTACACCCACCTGTCGTACAACGAAGGCAAAAGGTAAAAAGCTGATAGGAGCCGGAGGAGCGTTTTTACAGCTGGACTGGGCTGGACATATTATTTTAGCGGGGGGTGGGTGGAAAGAAAGCGGAACAGTTATCACAACCGTCTAACCGTCAACAACCGGCCGTTGATTCATTTTACTTTATGCATATACTTCCATCGCCACTCCATCGCTGACACGTTTTTCCTCCCTCACCACGCCTGCCCCACAGGCCCCCTTAAACCTCCCTCTCCCTCACCCCCTCATTACCCCCTCCTCACCCCCCTCACACACACACCCTCCTCATTCCCCCTCTCCCACAGCCCCCCCTCACGCCCCCTCTCCCTCACCCCTTCTTCCCAACCCCCTCCTCACCCCCCCCCTCACCAGCCAGTTGTTCAGCTCCGACAGCGCGAAGTACTCGATGGCCGCATCCAGGTCGGATACCAGAGTCTGGAATCGGATGCGTGTGTGTATTTGTGTGCGCGTGTGTGTGTGGGGGGGGAGAAATGAAGGGGGAGGCCGGGGAAATAATATTCCATGTCTCATTAAGAACAACTCCCGACCACAAAAGATTTAAATACATGTAACAATTTATAAAAAAAGTCGTATTGACGGTGCCGTGTTGTGTGTTTTGCGTTCCATCTGGATCTCGTTCTAAAGCCTCCGAAACCACCTTAGCACGGTTATTAAAAATTCCTTGACTTGGCGCACATAATTTTCTCCCCTCCCCATCACACGCACTCTCCCCCCATAACACCCAACCCCAGCCACTCCCTCCCTCCCTTTCCCCCCTTTCCAACATCGACCCCGCACATCATACATCGAGACAAACGGCCATTGGGTTCCGCTTGCTTTTCCATCTTCCAACCAACCTCAACCACCACACAACGACAACCCAACCACCTGCAAGAAACTCCGCAGCCGGGAAACCTCCGCTGCCAGATTCCCTCCGCCGCCGCCGCCGCCGCCACCTCCGCCGCCACCAAGTACAAGGGAGCTGCCGCCGCCGCCGGAAGCTGCGTCTCCCGCACCTGCCGCCGCCGCCGCCCCCTCCATCACCATGGCTGCTTCATACCCCCCCGGCAGCACCCGGGCTACTTGGGCGCTATCTGACAACACGTCCATGGCTAGAACTGCGGCCCCGAGGTGGTGTGTGGGGTGGAGGGGGTGGGGAACGAGGTGGAGCGGTCAGAAACACAACGGGGAATCAGACACACAGACATACAGACAGACAGGCAGACAGAGACACATACAGACCGACACCCAGAGTCCCAGGAGACAGCGGGATAAACGTACCACACAGGGATAGAGACCAAGTACAGATATATATATATATACATATATAAAATATGCATATTTATTTATTTTTCAACGCTCCTCCAGCCATACCGGCCACCCGTACCATCCAACCAATCATTCCCAAGAAAGTACCTCCATAAAACCGAAACCACCATTCCCCCTCGCTAACCGCAATATATATCTCTCGCCCTCCCACCCACCCCAAACCCACCCCACACTCACCCCAAACCCACCCCAAACCCACCCCACACTCACCCCACACTCACCCCACCCCCACCCCACCCCACCTCACCCCACCCCACACCCACCCCCACAATCCTCACCTAGGTGGCACCCACGCACTTGCTCCATCATCTGCAGCGCCTGGAACAGCTTCCTCTGCCCCAGCAGTGTCCCCACCTCCACACAGCGGGCCAGCAGCCGCCGCACCGCCCTGGCGCCCCCCACTGCGGCGCACAGGTGCCGCTGGGCGGACTGAAGACTGTGGAGTTCCCGCGCGGTGGAGGACAGAGAGAGACCCGTGCGCTGCGCAGCCGTTTGGGGGGTATGCGTGTGTATGTATGTATTGGGTGTATTGGGTGTATGTATGTATGTATGTATGTATGTATGTATGTATGTATGTATGTATGTATGTATGTAATGTGGTAATGTGGTTGATTTGGATTTGGGTTGGGGTGAATATCCACGGGGTTGTCAGAGGTGTGCGTGTGTCACTGTCTCTACCGCGGGCAAACTGTCGCCGCCTTGAAGACATTTCCTGTTTTGGAAACCCACATCCTGTCTTTTTCAAAAATATCCACTGTTACCCCTGTTTGCCTAGTGGCCCGGTTTCCTGACTTCACGGTGTTGGCTGCTCCAGGGGATGACCGCACCTGAAGCACCTCGCCTCCGGCCGCCACCGCCTTGCGCAGATCGTCCGCAGAAGTCACCATTCGGTCCAACTCGGCAACACATGTGGCGATTTCCATGGCGTGGGACGAGCAGATGTCGTGTACGATTGCGTCCTGCTCGTTTGAAATGGAGCGCAATACGGATTGCATGACCTCCAGCGCGGGTCGGCCGTCCAGCGTGGCGCCGATGGCCGCGGGAGGATGATTCTGGCCGGGAGGTTTGCTGGCCGGGAGGCGCCGAGTGGCAGAGGAGGAAGCTGGGTCGCCATGGGGAGGAGGCGATGGTGCATGAGCTGGTGCTGCGGGTGTTGAGGGCCCGCTAAAGATGAGACGCAGCTGCAGGGAGCATGGCCAAGATGGGTGTTAAGAGCGCCGGGATGCTGACTGATAGCCAAATTTTTTAACAAACTACCAGCTTCCCCATAAGTGTTGTGTAAGCAGATGTGGAGTTTTAGCAGACGTACCACAGGGGTGAAATCCTCGTTCAACAAGCAGCTCTCCACTAGCTCCCGTGTGCTCGCCTCCTCACTGCGGCCAGCATGAGACTGCGCCTGCTGCTGCTGCTGTTGTTGTTGCGGCTGTTGTTGTTGCTGCTGCTGTTGATGTTGTTGTTGTACCTTCCCCGCAGGCATCCCGCCACCTCCACTTTGCTTGCACAGGGACAAAACATCTAATAAAGCTTTGAAACCGTTATTATTTCAAATGCATTTGCCTTATTATTATAATAGCTTATGAGCCACTCAGCTGTCAACGTGCTAAATTGGTTCTGCGAGCAGGCAATTGCAAAATGAATATGCGTAGCTTTATATGGAAGTATGTTCCTTATCATAACTTTACTCTTGTGTGACACTATTCCACCGTAACCGGAACGCAGCATTTGGTTATGCTTCGGCTCATTGGCTGGCCTTTCCTGTAAGATTTCGTTTATAATTCCAAACTATCTGTGGAGCTCATCATACAACTCTTCTGTTAGCGGTCCATAACCGGACGGATGCAGCTGCCTCCGCTGTCGAGCAACCTACTCAACTGCCAGCAGTTGGTAGGATACGACTTGCTTGCCATAATGGTTGCCTGCGACGACTGAAGGACTCTGCTTGCAAACCTGCACCGCGGGCGCCACACCAAAACATTTGGAAGGGCCAGTTTTGCCTCCTTCAGATGCCGTCACGAGGAAGGGCCTCGTTTTCTGTACGCGTGTAGAACAGTGTAGAACCGTATACGCTGTGCCCGAGTGTATTTCGAGCACACACCCTCAACATTCCCTCGGTAGTTCATGGCTGGGACAATCCAGAAATTCAAGCTGTTGGCAGAATCAGGACGCGCAGGGGACCCGCGTCCTATCCCGCACCGTAAGCAGGGACCTGCTCAGGCTTGCAGGCTTTACTTACTCCGCAATCCACACATCATACAGGTTGCCACAGCATTCCATCATATATGCGTAACATTCTCAACACGTCGTTTTACGGTGGGGCGAGAGGAAAAGCGTGCCATCTTTCCCAGGGTTCCTGTTCGGGTAGTTTCTCGTGCCCCGAGCCATCAGCTGCTGCAGACAGGATTTGGGTTTACAAGCTGAATAGTGCTGTATCTGTGGTCTATCTGGGGGATGGCAGCTGAGATGGAATTCGCCAAAGGATGTCTGCGCACTGGGTGGTTTTGGGGGCGCCGGCTGCCTGGTCCTGCAAGTCTTCCCCCAGCAAAGAAATTTCCGCAGAAGTCATTCTTTTGAGGTTCAATCCATTTGTATCACACTTTTTCTCTCCTCAGTGTTGTGTGATCATATTGAGAAGGAGCAGCTGTCGGTCTTGCCTAGCGTCGTGCCGTAACTTTTGTAACGAGATCAACCCGCGCGAATACAGCACACGCCAGCATGGCTTGCCAGTTACAGATGACAAGGTATCTGACAACTTGGTGTGAAAGATGTATGACAATATTATAGAGAAATCCCGCTGCAGAGGTACTGCAATGGCGCTTGGCACGAAGCTCGGATCCGTGAACTGACCGAATTTCCAGTAAATAATTTTCATTTCATGTTATCCGAAGAATCTTCTGTGCTTTCATGTACCGTCTGTGTTTGTGATATGCACTTACAGGGAGCTGCAGGTAGACATCACTATTGGTTGTGTTGACAGAACGAGGATTAGCAAGCTTGTAGGGATACCGCATTTACTGGCGCTATGGAATCTATATATACCGACTGGCAAAGGCAGCGCAAAGGTGCGGGTGGACCTTAATGATGAGCAAGGACGTTGCAGCAGGGGCCCTTTGCGCTACCTGGCAACGCGACCAACATCCCACAGACGAGATGGAATCGGAAGTCGCAAGTAGCCGGTTTCAGCTGCAGAATGTCCTCGGTGAGTTCCTGGCGGGTTCTCCCGCTGACGGACGATGGTAAAGCACTTTTGGTACACCACCGAATAACGATAGTAGAGCGCACCCCTCCTCACCACATAGAGCTGCGTTTCACAATACCTATCAACCACACCGCATCTTCTCTCAGAAAGCGGCTCTTAATACCAAACCTGTGAGCCGATCTCCAAACCTTCCAGTCCTTGCCACTCTTCCAATCTAATTCCAACCAGCTGTGGCTACCTCTAACTCCCTTTCTCCTCCTCCCGCCCTTCCCTCGGACTCTTGTTTGGTCTTGCCCTTCCTCCGTTACCTTCTGACATCCCTTTGTTTGGATGTGTCCTCGCCAGGGCCGTTATTAGGGGATGAACTCTTCCCCTTCTGGGGAACTAACGGGGAAGAAGTGTTCTGCTGTTTGACCCCCTGCACATCTGTGCCGACATGTTTATTTGGTAATTTCATTTATGCCCCCTCCCCTTCTCCCGTCTGGTTTCATCCGCCCAGGCAAGGGCGCGTACGGCACTGTGTACAGCGCTGTGGATGGTCAAACGGGGGAAACTGTAGCGATCAAGGTCATTCCGGTTACGGATCAGGATCGAGAGGAGTTGACCCAGATCCAGAAAGAAATCAGATTCCTGGCAGATTGCAACCACCCGAATGTCGTACGATACTTGGTGAGCAATGTACGACAGTTACGCCATTGGGCTCGCGTCCCCAAATAAAGGATGCGGGATGCGCCCCCCCCCACCCCCCCAATACTTCCGGAAGCATGGCCCGAAGACTTCATCCCTTACGACTCCAGGAGTTTCGGACTTTGTGAATGCCTTCCGGCAGCTCATGTCTGAGTGATCCCCACGCAGTGATTACCCCCACCCCAACCCCCCACCCTCCCACCCAACACACACACATACACATACACATACACATACACATACACAGGGCAGCTACCGTCACCCCAACGAGCTCTGGATCGTTATGGAGTACTGCGGAGGGGGCTCCGTCAGCGACCTTCTGTCGGCCACCTCCGAGCCACTGAGTGAGGACCTCATTGCGTACGTGTGCGGGGAGGCGCTCAAGGTGCGGGTGGGGGGGGTTGCGAGCTGGGGGGTGGATGGGGTGGGGTGCAA